TCATTAATTTCAGTTAGCTGCTGGTAGGGCTAATGCTGTTCTTGTCTTGATTAGAAGAAACCATGTATGAAAGACACATGAAGTCATTCATTATTTCTTTTCATATGGTGCTAGTGAAATCACATCTGAAGTACTATGTACAATTCTGGACATCACATTTTCAAAAGATTATTGACATTTTAGCAAGGGTTCCAAGGAGGGCAGTGCAGATAATCGAAGAATTAAAGCAAGGGTCCCCAACCTCTGGTCCATGGACCAATACCGATCTGTAGCCCATTGAGACTCAGGCCGCGCAAGTGGCGGTCAAGTGCAAGAAGTTCCATTTGTGCGTGCACAGGATTAAGTACAAAACCATCCCTGCCCCCCTCCCTCCCACTGCTGCCAGTCTGTGGAGTGGGAAAGATTAGGGACTGCTGGACTAGAGGACACACTCTGTGAGGAATTTGGGATGTTCAGTCTGAGGAAATGAAAACTGAAGGGAGACATAGCTTTATTCTGATCCAATGAGGGAAGCTACAAGGAAGATGATCAAGAACTATGGCCACAGAAATTGGAGTCAGAAATAATGGGTATAATTTGCAACTGCTATATTTTGTTTAAATGTGAAGAAAAAAATTCTGACAATAAGACCCGTACAACAGGGGAATATTATAAAGATTTTTCCATCTCCATAAGAGAGACTGGACAGCCACCACTCATGGATGATTTAACTGATTCTCCTACACACTGCAGAAAGTTAGGCCAAATTATCTTCCAATTCTATAGTTCCATGATTCTGTGATTAGCAGTACAGTATTTGCCAAAGGATCAGTCCTCTTATGTTTGCCTGAACCTGATGGGCTGCTATTTTGGAATTGTGGAAAGTGGACTTTTTAATTTACAGTGACCTTTGGTATCAAATTTTGAGTTTCATGAACTTAAAATGCTGATCACTAAATTTGAGATGTTTTCTGTAATTAAATATTTGGTTAATATGAGAGTTTGTAAAATATTAGTACATGCACACTTGATAACTGGATTTGTTTTTCATAGAAAAAGAACCTAAGATAAATATCTCTAAATTAAAAGCAGGTTTTATTCAAGTAATCCCCATCTTAACAGTAGTTAAGTAGATTAACTAAAGTTCAAAGGGCAGTATGCATATTTTGCCATGATTTTGTTTATATTATTCAGTTCTAAAATAAGATCATTACATCTAACTCCTCTGTATTATATCAAGAGATTGCACTCCTTTGATTCTGGAAAATAACTTAATAACTTTGATAATTAGTTCAATATCTGTAGACGCTAATCCTGTTAAAGAACAATCCATATTTATTTCTGGCATAATTATTAATTATACATTAATAATTACTATGCAGTTATTGCAGAGGTTTCATCTAGAAATGACCAAACATCCCAATTATCCAGCTAAAAAGTAAAGAATTCTTTTTTTGAAGCAGATTTATAATTTTGGCATAGTATTTGTCAAAAGGCCTTCTCTGTTCCTCATTGCATCAGCTTCAGAAATATTATATAAAAACATTTTTCTCTTTTTAATGACAGTAAAATCTTGCAGATGTCACTGAAGCTCTCAAAGTTCTATTCTATAATTCAATGAGATTTAGGTATTTGTAACTAAATGTATAGAAAGACCGATTCAGTTCTTATTGCTAAATGTCACATTCTTGCCCTGTACATAGTATTATGCTAAAAAGAAAATTGCAAATGGCATTCAGAATTAATAGCTGTTATAGTTTATCTCAACTAGAGTTGCCTACATGAGTTCACCAGTATATGACCAACAATATAAAAACCTACCCCCAAGCTACATATGTACTGTTACAGAAAACACAATCCTTATTCAAATTATCATCTCTAAAAAAATCTACAACGAATCAAACCATGTCAGAAAGACAATTTAAACAGCACATTCATGGATACATGATACAATCATTGTGTCACAGGACTGAAATATTCTGAAACTCTGTCTTGTTGATATTTCATAAACCTTAGATACATCTGCCAATAAATATGGATTGTATTTATTCATATGCCAGAAATTCTCAAACTTTGTGAAACAGTCCTGGGATTTCATAAAATATAAAAATGAAACATGAAATTCTTCCCCCACCAATAAAGGTAACGGTTTCATTAATATTAGGGTCAATTCTTTTACTTGGGCAAAAGAATTATATTACATCCTAAATTGTTAATTTTTAGTTAAAATTTAATCTATACTAGACAATTCTGTGAGCCATTGGGTCCTTCTTTGAAATAAAGGTAGTGAAGTCTGATGTGATCAGACTAAATATTAAATTTTAGGCTGACAGTATCCTTTACCCCAATGCTGTATTGTCCCATGCTCATTTAAGAAGAGTGTATGTCATAAATAGAAAAATAATTGTACTGGCAAACTATCTACAATAATTAAGGTAAAGGTAAAGGTTTCCACCACACATGCGTGCTAGTCGTTTCTGGCTCTAGGGGCGGTGTTCATCTCTGTTTCTAAGAGAAGAGCCAGTGCTGTCCGAAGACTTTCTCTGTGGTCATGTGGTTGGCATGACTAAGCACGGAGCGCTGTTACCTTCGCACTAAAGTGGTCCCTATTTTTCTACTTGTATTTTTTACATGCTTTCGAACTGCTACGTTGGCAGAAGCTGGGACAAGTAATGTGAACGATTAGTCAACGTTTAATTACCTAAACAGAAAAACAGAATGATGTGGGAGTGGGAGCAACTTCCAATTTCCTGCTGGTTTTCCCGTTGACTTGGCTTGTGGGAAGCTAGCAGGGAGCATAGGAAATCACGATTATATGACTGTAGGGATGCTGCAGCAGCCACAACACAACTCTGAAATCAAACTGGTGTGATATTCATAGAAATATCAATTTCACAGGAGTAATGAGTCCCAGATTTTTTTAATTTAACATATAATGGACCATTTGAACCAATATGAGGATACAAACAGACAAATATAGTGAGAAAGTTAGTAGTAAATGGTTATCAGATAAAACAGTGATATAACTTTATGACTTTATAAAGTAAAATACAATTTTACAAAAGCTACATTAATTTTAAAACATATTTTTAATGGGAAGGATGAATTTCCTTGCTTTTGTAGACATACTGAAATTTGTATTTCTCTTTGAAGACAGCCACACTCATTTAAAGGAATTAGAAAGACGGGAAAAGGTGCTTTTTAGTTTAAAACGTATTTTCTTAAACTGCTTTTACAATACTGCAACTTGAAAAACACTGAAATATTGTGAATCGCTTTTGGAATTCTCTCTGGAAAAAACAGCTCAAAGAGTGCTCAGGAAGGCACTCTGACAACCTTCTAGTCACTGTGTCATCATACTGTGAGATTTGCAACTCAGATTTGGAGAAATAATGTAGTAGCCAGTAGCACAGAATTTATTTATGCAGTACCAACAACATGATGCCCTTAAGCAGTTTTACTGGATTAGGTCAAGAGTTTATCTAGTGCAGCACTTATTTGTCACTAACTGGGAATCACAGGTTAAGCAAATGCCCACCCCAATCCAAGCCAGTCCCCCCACCTCCAAGGTCATTCCTTAACATATAAGGGTGATACAAAGACTGCTAGTATTTGTCTCAGGAATTAAGTACCATAGTTTTGTTTTTTATAAAGTTTAATGGGGGGGGGGAGAATTACAGCTATTTAATTCACTTACATTAACATATGTTTTTGAATAAAGAATTAAAGATATATTGGCAAACAGTTTTTCTACTCTAAGTATATATGTGTGTGTGTGTGTGTGTGTCTAAAATTCAAGATTTAAACCTGTTCCCAAAGAGATGTTTATGCCTGATCAAAGGTCTAAAATGTCATAATGCATCAGACCAAAGTCTCAAATGACCATCCCAGGTAACTGAAATACAATGATACCGTAGCATACAATGGAACAACATTCTTGCATCTGAAAGGGCAAAGTTAAAATTGAGAGAATAATAGAAAGGTGGGGAATGGGATAGTGCTGAGCCCTGAAAGTATGAGTTGCATGACTGGAATAACAGTCCCAGAAAGGTTAAATAGAAATGCTTGTGAATAAGAAGTTTCGCCCATTTCCAAAAGTTTACTCTTCAATTACACTCCAGGCCCATATTAAATTAAATTACGAAGGTTTTTCTAATTCTTGGCCTGTTCTATGATCTTGACTATGATCAATCCCAGGAATTTTGACAGTTCCTCGTTCTTCTGGGGACAGTAATTCCAGTGCCTGATCTTTTTTGTCTTTAAGAGCCATCTTTCTAGCCTTTGGACTGACCCTTTTTCCCCAGGATCCTTCATTCCCGCCATTAACCTACCCTAACAGTACTTACAGGAGCTACTATTCCAGTCTTGTATCACTGTTTTCTACCTAAGTAGATTCCTGTTGCTACTCCAGTCGCCTTCGTAGTTTCTTTGCTTATTTATATCCTGCCTTTATTACTTTACAAATAACTTAAGGAAACGTATCCAACACACCATCCTCCTGTTTTCCCCACAAGAAGCCCGTTGTTCCTGGCCATGCTTTTCAACGCGGAGGCTTTTATTTCAGTCCCGTTCCTGCCCTTCAATTCAAACCGTATCATTTATCATGTGTTTATAATTCACAAAGCAATACGATCTATCACAAGTCGGTTATTTCTATTGGCCCATTCCACTTGTTTTCGTAAGGCATTCCCGCCAGTTCAACTTTCAGCTTTGCACGGATTTCAACAGAGAGGAGCCTCGTCAAGAGTCTGTCTTAGCTCCCCTTCATTTCCTACGGAGAGATCCGAAACATTTCTTATGGCCATTCCGTGACCTCCCTTCTCACGTGACTCAGGGCCACCATCAGGACCCCTCCCTTCCCCGTCCCAAGCTCTTAAACCTCCGCCCGTATGTCACTGCCAAGGCTCCTCTCCCCCCCCCTCTGCCCCGCCCAGACGCCAAGAAGAGGCAGCGGAGGGTTCGAATACTTCCGGGTCAGCGAAGAGCGCTTCGTGACGTTGGCGAACCGTGGAGGAGCCTTACTGCCTGTTATTGTTCCTGCCCCCCTCCCTCCCTCCCCCTTCCGTCGCTCCCATCTCTCGCCTCGGGACGTTTTACGAGCCTCTTCGGAGACGCGGCGAAACATCAGGGGAAAGACAAGGAAGGGGGCGCGCGCGCCGGCACAGCCGAAGGGCCGTCGTGAGAGATTCCGCTTCTCAAAAGGGAAAAAGGGGGTACAGTTGGAATTCGTGCGGCGCGCGCGCGCGCGGAGGGGGGGGAAGTCCCTAACGGCTTCAAATCTTACGTAGCGCGAGCTCTGACATAAAAGGGCGGAGGGGGCGTCACGTCACGCCGCGCCACAGAGGAGCGACAGTTCTACCGGAGAAGGCAGGAGGGTTGAAGCGGCGGGGATCGGGAAGACATGGCCTACGCGTATCTCTTCAAGTATATCATAATCGGGGACACAGGTGAGAAAGCAAAAAAAAAAAGGGGGGAGGAGGGAAAGAGCCGCTGCGGAATTGGGAAGCCCGGCCTGAGGGCCAAGCCGCCTGCGCAACGCCCGCCTCAGCCGCTCCATTTCCGCAGTGTTGGCTACGCCGACGTGGTACTGACTGCTCAAGAGGGGGAGGTTCTCGATTTAGGGACCGCCCGCAGCTTGACGCCGGCCTACTAAGGCCTACACCGGTGGCTTTAGTTGCGCCGGGGTTCCTGTCAAACTTCTGGGTGTTACTACCCGTCCAATGCTACCCCAATTTCGTTGAGTGGCAACGCCACTACCAACCTGGTAGATGTGAAGCACAAGAAGAGCGGTTGGGGTGGGTTAATGAAGGGGTGGGTTTTTTAGGCCTCAAAGGGCGCTGTTAAGCGAATGCTTCGGTGAGATAAAAAAAAAAATGGTGACGGAGAGTGACAACGCCCCGATAGTTTGCCATTCTGGACCTCAAACCTGCCACGCTTGAAAAGTTCCTGTCTAAATCTCCCATTACGTACAGTGAGGCTAAAACACTTCTCTTGCCGAATTTGAGTTGAAGCTGCTCCAATAAAAGTGCCATTCCTTGGAGAATGGCGAGTTAATGGAAAAACACAAAGGTTTAGAATAGAGTTGCTGGGAAATTGAACTGAATGGGTAGCCCTTTTTAATATAGTTTTTAACATTAATTGATAATTTTAGGGAATCTACTTTCTTTTGGCCTCAGCATCTTAGCTATATAATATGGAGAATATGCAGTCTCTTGTTTCAGCATTTCTAGGCTTGATTTTTTTTTCTTATTGCTATACCTATTTGTGCTTTGCTATACCTATTTGTGCTGTCAGTTTATATTGCCCGGGTTGAGATTAGTCTCATTTGTTATCATTTCTTCTTGGAATAACTTGTCATCTGATCTGTTTATACAGATATAGCAATGTGGTAATTAAATCCTCTGGATTCCATGTATTTGCTTCGTAAGAAGGAGTGGTTGCTTATTAAAGTAGCTGTACTTGAAGGTGTATGTATCCCCAAACGAGGCATTACTCATTTTGTTAATATCAGAGATTTAATAAAGGCTGACATTTATCAAGTACGTACAAAGCTAAAGCCAAATAGTTCCTGCAAACTAAAAAAAAATACCACGTGAAGGGGATGGCTAATATATTCTTGGCAGTTCTGTATTCTAGGTTTTTGTATTTTCCTGTGAAATGTAATTTTTTGTAGTGATTTATGGAATTAGCCAACTTTCCCCAAGCAGGCCAGATAAAGAATTATAAGAGAACTCCAGAGTATAAGGCACATTGTAGCTGGTAGAAGGCTGATTTTTAGGCCTGGTTCATGCATAATGTAATTTGCTTTTGGGTAGACAGGATGTCCAAATATAATCATATTGCTTATGTATAGCAGCTATAGTTATTCATGAAAGAGGGATTAAACTAAATTTGGCAACTTAAATGGTGCAATTATGTAATCCTGCCTTCACTAGAAATTGAGGAGCAATGGTGATTTTGATCCTTATTTTTCATTCTGAGCTTACTAAAAATGAATGTTTGGTTTATACAAAGCATCTTCCATACTGTTCAGTATAAACTTCTCAGAATGGTTTATAAAAGTTGATAAACCCAGGGACTCCCTTGTCAATAATAAGTTGTAACAAAATAAATTAAGATTGGGAAAAAGGAAACAAAAAGCAAATAGGCACATATTTACATAGCTACAAACTTTGATTTGGAAGAAATTCTTTGGATCTCATCTGAACATAGCACACATCTCTTTTCATTAAACAACTGTTTCATTAACAATTGCATTAACTTGAATAAGTCAGCTCTTTCATGGAACAACACACACAGACACACATATGTTGAGGCTCAAACAATAACCAAGCTTCCTTAATACTAGAGCAGTGCTATGCAGATCTTCTGTATAGTTTTTAAAGAATGCACAGAATATTTTTATTTCCAAACTTGAAATGATCTAAAATAGAAAAAGTACTATTTTGGTATTATATATGATAATTTTATGCAGAGTTCTTTTTTTTCCTTTTTAATAGTAGGAAATTGACATTTGGGAGTGTAGTTGGACCATATTTGACTTTGATGATAATTCATGTATTTCTTAAATAGTGGTACAAAAATAACACAAAATACTAATTTATACATATTCCTCATTTATTGATTGCTCATTCAGCAACCTTTCAAAGTTATGATGGTACTGAAAAAGAACATTTGCTTGATCACAGTTCAGATGCTTGGTAACCAGTGCACATTTACAAGAGTTGCAGCTTTGTGTGGTCACACCAGTGGTGGGTTGCCCCCGGTTTGGACCGGTTCTATAGAACCGGTAGTTAAACCGGCGGGAGGCTCCACCCACTGACCCTGACATCACCAGAAGTGATCTGCGCATGTGCAGAAGCAAGGCACATGCACACGTGATCCCGTTGCGAACTGGTAGTAAAGGTAAGTAGAACCCACCTCTGGGTCACACATTTGCCATTTGTGACCTTCACAGCCAGCTTTCAACAAGTAAAATCAGTGGGGAAACAAGAAGTTGCAAGTTGCATTTACATATTGTTGCACTTGACCTAAATGGTTCGCAGCCACAAGTGACATACGTTGGGCATATCCGTGTGATTTTTCACTTTATAACAGTGTTGGGTTCCTCCCGGTTCTGCCCGGTTCCACCGAGCCGGTAGCGGTGATGATATTTAGCAGTACCTCTGCTAAATCCTAAAGAATTGTCACATGACCATCAAGCCACGCCCACAGAACCGGTAGTAAAAAATTTTAGAACCCACCCCTGCTTTATAACCATGTTGCATAGTGATGGAGTTGCTGTCTCATTTGTGGTTGGTAAGTGAGGACTACCTGTACTTTTACTGCTACATCTTACAATAAAGGGCATGCTTACTTTAGAAAACAAAGTTAAAATAGGGGATAGAACCAGTATGGGATAGTTGTTAAGATATTAAACAAAGACTACAGAAATCCAGATTCAAATCCATATGTAGCTCGGCAGATGAACTTGGGAAACTCTTTTAAACCAATCGGCACAAAAATTAAAGTAATATGAAGGATTTTCCACAATTCTGGTATCCTGGTCCAGCAAATACTGTATAATAGACTAACAATGCTGAATAAAAGCAACAGCTATCGAAAATATTCAACCCTGCTTAAAAGTATGATGAAATAATGTTTTTTAACAGTTTATGAAATAATAGGAGGCAAGGAGCTGCTTGAACTTTGGAGATGAAGAGTTTCAAAATACATTCTTGAATAGAATTATTTATTGGCCAAGTGTGCCTGGGTGCACAAGGAATCTGCTGCCTGATCTGCCCCTCTCATTTTTTGTAGACTGTAGTGGGCCATGTAAAGTTCTTACTGGATAGTGGTGACCTATGTCTTTTCCTGTTCCGTTCATTTCTTTATGATCTTTCTGAAATTATGTTAGGTTCAAAAATGATGACATATTCATATTATAGTGTCAGATGTATTTATTTGTATACCACCATTGTAAATCTGAGAGATTTCATATAATTCACACACATTTTTAGTATATGTGCGTTGGTAGATTTCTTTGTGTGTGATCTGTATGCTAACAGCATATCATTTCAGGTATTAATCTGGAGAAGCAAAACAAATTCACACAAGGGAATCTGTTTTCTGAGATGCCCTTAATTTCTTCCAACTATTAATAGATCTACAATGGAATTATCTTACAGTCTCTTATATAGTGTGCCTCATATTGATTAATTAGTATTATATTAAAATTTTCTTTTTATTGTAATTCTGTTTCAGTGGTTACCTGAAAATTATAATGAAAATACACAGAATCTTATCATGGCAAATCAGTAATGGAAGGATGGGAAGAGGGAACAATCATAAAAGCTTTTAAGTAATTTTGAAAAGTATAAATCAAGAAAGTGGGGAAAACTTTTTTTAAAGGTGTTGCAGCACCCGCCATATAGAAGATCATCCCTTATATGATTCATATGGCCGCAGCCTTGTTGCTGTTTCAACAAGGATTTAAAATTTGGCTTTGGCCTGGGATGTTAGATAAGCTCTACTGCATGGTGCATGCTATATTATTTTAATATTATGATTGTGGCTTTAATTTGGATATTATTTGGATTTGGATTTTTATTGCAGTTTTATTTGGCAGGGACTGTAGCAGGGGTGAAATGCTCCCGGTTTGGACCGGCTCGGGAGAGTAGGTAGCGATGGCGGTGGGCAGTTCGGAGAACCGGTAGCAAAAATCCCTGCCCCCGCCCCCTATGCCAGCTGAGCTGCGCGATCATCAGAGCCTTTTTTCCCCTTTAAATGGCACTGACGATCCAAGCTCTGACGATCCCAGCTGAGTTGCCTGCTAACTAGCAAAAATCCCTCTCCCCCCCCCCATCGCCCCCCAGCCTCCAGCTTGCTTACCTTAACTGCTGGTCGCAACGCCTGCCTTGCTTCGCTTGCTGTAATACCTGCAATCCATTGCATCCGCAAGCAACTGAATCTCCCTGCCTGCAATCAAGCTCATCGGTGAGCAGCTCTATCTGCCTGCCTGCCTTCCTGCCGTGGCAACTTTAAGACTTGTGGACTTCAACTCCCAGCAAAGCTGGCTGAGGAATTCTGGGAGTTGAAGTCCACAAGTCTTAAAGTTGCCAAGGTTGGAGACCCCTGTTCTATTGGGTAAGTTTTTTTTCCCCTTTGGCAGCTTTAAAAAAAATAGTTAATTGGGTTTTTTTTTAGTTCTTTTTTTAGACCTAGCCATTTAAAGTTTAGGAAGTTTTAAATTTAGCTGATTTTATATAAAAATAAAAATAAATTAAAATAATATTTGTGCAGCTTTCTGAGATTTAGTGTGTTTCTGTAGTGTTTCACTCTAACTACACAAACACAAAATCTCACAAAGCTGTATGTGGAATTTTGTGTGTGTAAAGTGTGAAAGTTGGTTTTTTGTGGCTTTTTGTGGCTGTGTGAGGTTCCTGCTTATTGCAGGGGCTATTTTGGG